CTGACAGACGGACTTCAAATCTGAACTCGTAAATTTCTTTTCAGTTTTCGCTGTAATTTTCATGAATGAATGAACACTTCCTTGTATCTGAGGTAGGAAACATAGCCTTATATGGTGTTTTTGGGGTGGTAATTATGCTAATCTCCTCTCGCGTGCACGAGCAGCTGGATAGAACAGGTGGAATTTACGCAGCTCATTTACGCACTTTTCCAGAAGATACAAGAGTTTGTTGAATCTGACGTAGCATGTTCGTACGAACCCTTTGTACGAACAAAAGTAAGAGAAATTTAGGAGAAGAATATGAACATGTTCTTGCGTGAGGCCCAATGTGCCAGTGTCACAGGTTGGTACAGATTCAGTCCAATAGTCAAAACCAACAAAGCTAAATGCTGTTTTGTTTGTTTGTTTGCTTGCTTGTTTTTTTGTTTGTTTTTTTTTGTTTGTTTGTTTGTTTGTTTGTTTTTTGTTTTACTGTTGTAACAATAACCTGCAGAAAGAGATATAAAAACAAACTTTCATCCAGTCGGAACTCCTACAGGCAATATATCAAACAAAGCTACTGTTTGCAAAGACAACAAAGAACTGAATATCATCCACTTGATATGAAAATTCAAAAATAAATTTCAATATAAAACACTCTCAAGTAGCTCCTAGAAGTGTTTGTGCTGGCATGGGAAAAATACATTTGATATTGAACAAATAAAGAAGTAGCCTTACATGTTTCAGAGCACTGATTATGTGACCAAACAGCTTGCCTTACAGAGGTTTTATGGGGGGGCGTTTTGGTTGTTTTTACGCTTAAATCCAATTTAAAATGGTTATTTTCCAAATTGCCTGCTTCACCCCTGGAGTTTAGGACTCACTGTATGACTGAATAGGTCAGATTTAACAAACAAACAAAACAATCCCGAAAATGATCTGAGACTGGACAAAAAATCAGATAAAAAGCAGCCAAAGTCCAAAGAACAATTTTGGAAGACCTCCAGAAAACCTATTAATCAAGATCATTTAAAAAGACTACAAGACAAATGTTGCTCCTTGGAAGCAAAATACAAAAAATAAGACTTTTGTGCAACGCTGTAGGTGTCTTTCCCTCCAGAGACATAAACATACAACAGTGACCTTGGTCACCGTTGTATGTATCCTGAATGAGAGTGTATGTGTGGTCTTTAAAGAGTGAGAAGGACAGCCAAAATCCTTCTCAGATGTGAAGCCCAGTAAATACTTCGCTCTTAATTAGATTTGTTACTGTAAAGCCACAGGGATATGAATAATCAGAATGCTGCTCTGTCAGCAAAAAGGTATAATTCTGCTCCTTCGTGGCTGATTTGACGAACTACAGTGACATGTCAGATTTAGGGAAAAATAAAACACATTCCAAATAAAAAATAAAGAGGAATGCATGAATATTATTCCCCCTTTTTTTGGTGAAAACCTTGACTCAGTCATTTGAACACCTGCACCTGGCCCCACTTTAAGGTCTCCATAAAGAGCAGCTGAAGCTGGAGCATTTCATCTCTCACCTGTACGGCTCTGACTCAGCCAGGAACTTCCTCTGCTCCAGGGGGCTGGCGCTAACACGTAGCTCCTTCACCACCGCCTGAGAGGAGCTGCAGTCGCACAGCACCTCAGCCAGGATCACCTACAGGAGATTGATGGACAAAAAACCATGGAAGAGCGCCCGGGGAGATGAAGCAGACCATCAATGAATAAACTCCTCTGAGGTACGGCTTGTGATCTGGTCTGTGAGCAGTAATAAATATGAGAAAGCGGAAACGTGTTGCAACAAAAAAACAAAAGACTGTCTCACCTTTCCAAACCAGCCATTACCGATCTCCTGAAGGTAATTTAAAGAGTGTCTTTTGAAACACTGAGAGTTGGCGTCTGTACAAAAAGAGACATATAAAAAATATTAACAATCAATTGTGCTCCACCAAAACATTAAAGATTGGGTTTAGATGTTTGTAAGACTTACAATTGAGCAGAAACCCCAGAATAATGAGCAGTTTTGTTCAGTTCAACATTAGTTGCTGTAATAACAATGTTATTCTTATTTTAGAGGGAAAAAATATTTTTTTCATCCTAAGGTCTGACAATCCTCAACCTATTATGTTGTAGATGTATGATGTGAATCTAAAATGATTTGCCAATTAATCTGCAATTAGCTCAAGTGATTAATTATTGCCCCGCAGCCATGAAAGGTTGAATGATCATGTAATCACCTGTGTCTGTGCATTCATTTGTCTGACTGTTAGCAAAATACATTTCATGAATCACTGGAGTGAGTGGATATAAATCATTGCTTAACATTTGGATTAAACTTCTGTAGGGGTCACCTCGAGTGAAATTATCAAGGAAACTGTCTTGGACTCTCAGCCCTCTGATGGGCCTGTAAGGGACAAAAACTCTGTTCCACTTAGAACTGAATTTAGGCCACCTCAGGTTGCCTTAACCTTTCAGAGAGACATTCTCTTTCTCCTAAATCAGATAATAAACAGAAGAAACTTTGTCTTATTTGATTTATTGTTCTCTTAACTGACAGTATTACGTATTTTGATAATCAGGGAATGTTTATCAAAGTTACAGGAGAAAAGAGGACAGATGTCTTTTCTCCTTCAGTGTCATTTCAGCTATGTATGGTTTTTCTGTGGAAAAAATCTTATTGAACTAAAATAATCTTTATGATTTAAAGTTGATGAAATATCAATGTTTTACTTGTCTGAATSATATTTGCAAATGTTTTGAACTTGAAGCAATTCATTTTTCTTTCAGTTATGATTTTAAACAAGTGCTCATCAGATAATTAAATGGGTCATGAAATGTTTTGTTCTGAACCACACAGCAGCAGCAATAATCTTTGTTTAGTTTCAGGAGGCGACGGCAAGTTCTGAAACTAACACTTTCCTTGATAACCCCTTTACTAATCATACCTTCTGGAGGACAGAACTTAGATTCTCTAAGCTTCTTAGTAACTAACAGTTTCCGCCCGGATGGCAGTAAGTGACGGACCGCCGTCAGTCACTTTGACAGCTAGACTCTCAGAGTCAAAAGCTGAAAACTGTGTCAGGTTTTGGCCCCTTCATCGCCAACAGGGAAACCTCACAGTGTGGATGACCAATGCCTGGTTGATCCACTTCAGAAAACTCTACAGACAGAAATTTTATTTTTGAAGCCAGTTCCCAATTTGGGGTCGCCTTCTTTCTACGGCTTGAGACAAAAACATGCCTTGGGGTTCCCTGTTTGACGGTTCTGAGACAAATTTTCCAGCAGCACCCCCGAAATACCTGGCAGGTGACAGAAAATCATCTTTAAGGTAAAAAGCTGGCTGTTATTATCTCTCTCTCTGGCTGACGCCGAGTAGAATGCTTCACCCTTCCGGTTAAACCACATTATTTAAGATAAAAGTATAAGAAAGCTAACACCTTACTTTCCTCCTTTTCTTAATCTCTTCCTTGCCAGCTCTAAGCTAATTGCCTCAAATGTCTGGTATTCACCATCAAAGCTTGACGTTTGTGTTTCTATTAAGTACTTATTGACAATTTAAGAAGCTAGAAGCTTGTTATTGTCAGTTCTAAACTTTTATAGGAAACTGATTGCCACAATTAAGTGTACTTAGTGATTCTGTATGATTTGTAAAATAAATGATCGCAATATTTATAGATCAAATCAACAGTCACTGACTGAGAGTCACTTCTTGCGTCCATTCATTTTTGCACTGGAGGAATTTTTACCCAAAATAAAAGAGATCCCTTGCTAAATAAATTACTCTTATAACTTTGTTATAAGAAGTGCAAGACTGAACTCTTACAAATGGTCAGAAAGAACAAACATTAAAATGGGTCCACAAAAATCAACTGACAAGAAACAAAGATTTCACAAACAACTCAAACAAAAGGATAAACCTATAGTCATGATCAGTGACAACACTCGATCAGAGTCTCAGACCTCATGAGATAAAAAGCAGGTCTTCCTGAAGACAGTAAAGCACAATAAAATAGGTCTAAAATAAATAGGTGTCAAAAACAAACATCTACTACTAAAACTTAGAAACACTAAGTCAAATTCTTAAAATTCAAGAGAAATTCAAATAGGTCATAACAATAAGCTAAATCTACAATTTATCTTGACCACTAGAGTGCGCTGAAGCATTAAAACACCAATTTTTATTGCTTATTCACCAACTTGGTTGATGCGTGTACGTTCCAAACCTTTCATTATTTAAAATCGGTTCGGAACGGAAAAACATCACTGTGAGATGATAAATAACTTTGTGTTGGTTCTGAACACCCACAGCCAAGAAACAGAGGTTTTGTATTGCTGTTAATGAGTTAAGTCTGGGGTGAATTTAACCATGTCAACATGCAGTTATTGATAAATCTCATCTTTTACAGGGCAATGTAGATTAATGCTACTTTAGGTACCATAGCTTACATAGACCACGCCACTCTTTTTATATAGACCTCGCTCGAATCAACACCAATTGGTGGGGGGGCTCCTTAATCTTCAAACACGAGTCTCGGCATAGACTCCTAAAATAAGGGAAACTAGAAACAAAATTTGAAGAACTAAAATCACTCGTTGAGTAACAGCTGCAAAGCAGAAAACAAAGACCAGAATATTTTTTTCTATTCTCGCCCCTAGCATAACTAAATTATGATTGGAGGAATAGTTAATGTAGTTTGAATTTGAGGCCTTCCTTACAGAAGACCTCTTTAGCCTCTAATAGATATAAAACCCTATATCTACCCTTTAGTTAAAGCAATGACCCATTCTTTAACTACTACCTGTAGCTTATCTAAAACGTGATAGCTAACACTCAGAGGCACACACAGGTTTAGCCTAATGTAAAAACCCAACTTTAGGTTAACCTAAAACCACATAAGTGCAGAACACATAGTGACCAGAAGGGCATCAACTGGAAACAACGCAGCCTTCAACACCCTCCACGATGGCCCACCTTCTCTGCCAAGGCTCTACGAGCGTCGACACTCTCGACCTGCATCCTTCTGGGGGTACCCATCTTCGCTCTATTCCAGTGGTCACTTCGCTCCTGTTGGTGGTTTCCATCGTTGACCCAGAGATCCCGTCTCCATCATCGACGTCGAGACCCCCTGTTAACCTGCAACCTTCCAGAGATCGACTCTCGAAAGGGGGGTTCCAGTACTTCACTTTGCTATGCTGTTCCAGAAATTGGTTAACTCCGGGTCAACCACAACAATCGCAATGAATTACCCTTGTGGAATATATTTTTTCCTTGTGGACTATCCTTTTTCCTTGGTGGATTACTTTTGCTTCCAGTGGATTACAGACTCTGTCGTCCAATGGATTTAAAGTTTTGCCTCAAAGGGAGTTACCCACAGACATTAAGGGAACCTTACAAAAAAAGGACAGAACTTTTTTTTTCACACTAACTGAAGAAAAAACTCTTGCCACGTAAAGTTTTCAGTTTGGATTACCTTGGGATTATACTGTTTCACCAATCGGATTAATTCAGGATCAAAGACTTTTGAGGTGTTCCCGTTTTCGTTACAACTAATCACCATTTGGGGGTGATAACTTGCAAAAGGGGGGACTTGTAGGGGTCACCTCGAGTGAAATTATCAAGGAAACTGTCTTGGATTCTCAGTCCTCTGATGGGCCTGTAAGGGACAAAAACTCTTTTCTACTTAGAACTGAATTTAGGCCACCTCAGGTTGCCTTAACTTTTCAGAGAGACATTCTGCTCCTAAATCAGATAATAAACAGAAGAATCTTAGTCTTATTTGATTTATTGTTCTCTTAACTGAAAGTATTACGCATTTTGATAATCAGAGAATGTTTGTCAAAGTTACAGGAGAAAAGAGGACAGATCTCTTTTCTCCCTCAGTATGATTTCAGCTATGTATGGTTTTTCTGTGGAAAAAATCTTTTTGAACTAAAATAATCTTTATGGTTTAAAGTAGAGGTGTCCCGATACCGATACCAGTATCGGTATCAGGTCCGATACCAGCATCAAGTACTCGTACTCGTACTCGTACTCGTACTCGTAAAAACCGGCCGATACTCTTAACCGATACCGCTTTTGTCCCCTTTTTTGTTCCTCCTGTGCTGCGCTGCAGCACAAAGGGTAAACAACAATCCATACCAGGCGGGGGCGCTAACGCACCGACAGGTTATTTCTGACCGCACCCCCGAATAACAGAAAAAGAACGATAAGAAGAAGAAGTGTAAGTGTCACTAAAATGATGTATGT